TCATAATTATAAATATGGAATTGTAAATTTAAAACATTTTCTGGTTTAAAAAATGAATCTGGTAGTCAGTGCAGCTCTGCAGGGTCTCTGTGTCTAGTAGGGCCCATCTCTGCGCTCCTGACAGTGCTCACCTTTGTCCATTTTTCCAGCTTCTCCACGTCCACCTCTTCTTTATCCACTTTTCCAGGTCCTCCACGTCCACCTCTTGTTCCTCCCATTTGTTCCATCAAAGGTCCAGGAGGGACCATCTCGTCTTCCTCCACCAAAGCCACCTCAGTCTATGCCACGGCCACCATGGAAACCACCTCTGTCTCCACCACGGCCACCTCTGAACATTCCACCAGGACCACCGCGGTCCATGAGGCCACCTCTTCCTCCCCGCATGCCACCAGGGCCACCTCTGCCACGATCACCACCTGGGAGTGGGAAGGGTAGCGGGAGGAAGCCTTCAGGTTTTGGGTTCTTACACTGGTTGCATTCTGTTTTTCAGGCAAAGTTCTGGTTTCCACAACCCGGATTGGGACATTGCCAATCTCCAGCTCGATGTTCGACACTTCCTCCTCCAGAGGGGTTTCCATGGGAACCCCAGGGGCCTCTTGAAGGGAAGCACCCTCTGTCTCCTCCATGACCTCCCATGTGATCCATGGGTCCCCCAGGACCTCCTGGGCCACCTGAACCTCCAAGAAGCGGTGCTGGCATCCCTCTGCCCTCACGAGGTGGCATGCCACTTCACATGCTGTTCATTGGCGATTTCTTCTGAGCAAGGGAGACTTTGTGCTTGCTTGCTTGAAAATCTTTCCCATCAAACCACTCCACAGCAGCCTTGGCGGTCGGTGGATCTTCACAGGACACCGTGGCATCACCCTTGGGCTTTCCTGTTTCCTTGTCCAGGTAGTTGTGGATCATGGGTTGCCCAGTTCTCTTGTTAATCTTAACAACCCTATACTGCTTAAAGAAGTCTGCCAGATCATCAAGTGTCACATTGTCATTTAGTCCTTGTACGTAAATTGCGCTGTTGTCAGTCTTCATCAGGATCTCTGCTCATGCCTCCACGATCAAATCCCCCTCTTCCCCTGCCCCAGTTATCAGGGCCACTCATGCTCCGGTTTTCTCCTGGTCGGGAAAATCCTCCAGACTCCCTCCCATAAACACCCATGCTCCTGGGGTGGTCCTGTCGGAATGAACTCTGCTGCCTGTAGCTGCTGCTCTGTAGGCTATATTGACTTGGAGCCGGGCTGTAGGATCCAGACTGCAGGGGATAACTAGTGGGAGGCTGCTGCCCATAGCTGCTTTGTTGACCATAGCTACTCTGTTGTCCATAGCTGCTCGGCTGCCCATAGGTGTTTTGCTGAGAGTAACTGCTCCGATCATAACTAGTCGGCTGTGTAGAAGAATAGCTGGTAGGAGGATACGATGGAGGCGCGGTGACTGGCTGCATCGGGTAGCTTCCAGGACTTGGGGATAACTGTAGTTACTCTGTCCCTAGCCCAGGTTGGGCTGGTTTTAACCCCTGTGCTAGAATGAGGTTGATTAGTCTCAGTAGTCTTGTTCCCATCCTGTGGTCTTGTGGGTGCAGTAGCTGTCCATAGGCTGGGTAAGCAGGCTGAGTGCCGTATGCAGACTGAGCTGGGTGGTGGTGACTGTAGCAGTGGTGGTATCATAAGCACCAGTGCCACATCCCTGGACAGGCTGGCTCTACACCTGGGGGCAGCTGGAGTAGTATAACCAGTGGGCGGCTGTCCATAAGAAGTTGCATATGCAGTCTGTCCATAGGTAGCAGTGGTCTGAGCTTGGGTATAACTGACATCAGTAGGCTGTCCATAGGTTCCGTAGCTTTGGGTTGGTCTGTGACTATGACTGGGTGGTCTGTGCCTATCCTTGAGTTGGCTGGGCTGTGTAAGCACTGTAGCCCTGCTGGGCTGCAGCTTGGCTGGAGGTACTATAATCCGTGGATGCCATTTTCTCTCCTTCCTTGTTCTCACCATGTTCATCACCCTTCATAAGCTTAATTTTAAATTTTACCAGAATAGCTAAGGGGCCAGGGAGATGGCTCAGTAGAATAAGCGTTTCCCTGGCAAGTGCAAGGGTCTGAGTTCAATCCCCGGTTCTGAAAAAAAACCCAAACCATAGCTATGAATTTGTCTGGATATTCTAATAACCTGTGCTTAAAAAATGATGTCATTGATAGTTGAAAATGTAATGACTTTACATCACCACAATATTATCAGGGTACTCCAATTGTGACAATAACAAGTGAGTCAAAAGTTCAGATGCTAGGGCCCGGGCAGATGGCTCAGTTGAATAAGCACCTGCCTGGCAAGTGCAGGGTCCTAAATTCAATCCCTGGTACCAAAAAAAAAAAAAAAAAAAGTTAAGATACTAGGAGGCAGTAGTGACAGACACCCCAAACTGGAGTCTGAAAACCCAAATGGAGTCAGCTGAGTGATGCCCTACAGGAATCCTTTGGCTGTCAGAGACCTCCTCTAGTATGATCAGGCAGACCCAGCCCCCGCATGGATGAAGTATGTCATCTCCTACAGGACAGAGATTTATTGCTTACATGATGACCCAAGCCAGAGACAAAGAGCTTTTGTGTGTAACCTGCTCAGATCTCCTGGCTGGTGGGAGCTATACTTCCCCGCCTTTCCACTTTTTACTGTCTTGCCTTTATACCTCCTCCATCCACGGTTTCATTCTTTGTTGCCACATCCCTCATCCCTGGTGTGTTCATTTCATTGGAGTTTTAGCTGCCCAGGCTGGGCTTCAATTCCTGATCCTCCTGCTTCAGCTTCCGACAGTGCTGGGATTATGGGCATGTACCACCAGGCCCAGCTTTAGTTGATCTTCAAATTCTTGCATCTGCAAACCATGCGGGTAGGAATATTATTAGTCTATGGCCATAGCACCCTGAGTGCACCCGGAACCGGGGATTGAACTCAGGCCCTTGTGCTTGCCAGGGAAGTGCTTATTCTACTGAGCCATCTCCCTGGCCCCAAGTGCACCCAATCTTGTCGAAATATATGTCATGCCCAGATTGGAAAATTTCCAAAAAACATATCTTGAACAGTGGCTTTGCTGGGTGATGAGCTGTGTAAATCTTTAACATCAATGTGTATTATCAATCTGCTCTCTGAAATAATTGTACAGAATGGATTTTGAGAAGAATGGTGTCTTGGTTACTTTTCACTCGTTGCTGAGACAAAATACCCTAGACACCCAAAATTAAAGAAGGAAAGGTTTATTTAGCTCACAGTTTGTAGAGGTTTCAGTCTATACTCAGCTGGCTCCCAAGCAAAGCAGCACACAGCAGAGGGCAGCAGGTCATAGCAGCAGAAAGCAAGGAAGAGCAAATGGAAGGGCAGCAGTTTCAGCTTCTAGCCAGCCTCCCCCCCCTTTATATTGTAAACAAGCTACCCTGGGCCTGGGGGTGTAGAACTCACACAATGTCCATGCCCTCCTCTTGCACAGGAGGAGGATGTTTACAAGCTAAGAATCCTGGCTCCTGCTGAGTCACTTAATTAAACTTTTAACTTTCTCAAATTGGCACAATGTATCTACCAGTACAAAGGATCTTTAGTGTACTGACCTGCAAAGTTATGCCACCAGTGAGGCAGGCATTTCCACAAGAGACTCTCCTTGGCGCTTTCAGTGAACCTCCCCTGCTGGGGTGTTGCTGGGAGTCCATTTCCTGCCCCCAAGCAGCAGGGATCGAGGCATGGCCCCCACACAGGACAAGAAAAGAGAAGCAACAGAGAGCAAAGGCCAAGAAATGGAGAGATGCTAAATGTGCCTGGTTTCTGATAATAGACTGTATGTGCCTTCTACCCAGACACCATGAGGCAAGAAGGGTTATTTAATTAGGTGGGTCTGTCTCCTGGCAGTCTGGGTCTTTTTCCTATTCCCAACGTCAAGCTTTACACCAGGACAAAGCAGGACACACGACCAACAGCTTGCTCATGGATGAGGCTGACCACCTGGACACTCATATCATTAACTTAGTTAAATACTTATATTCTTATTAACGTGCTCAAAAGGAGAAATGAGGTTTTAGCTCTATCTGGCACACAGATGACTATGTATGAGTGAATAAAAGATAACAATTTGAATTTAAACAACCCAAACATAATGCTATTGTTTTTTTTTTTTCTCCAATCTTTGACCTGATGCTGTTATAGGTCAACTCTGCATAGGAACCAGATTAGCCAGATAGAATTTTTTTTTTTTTTTGGCATAACCGGGAATTGAACTCAGGCCTCTGTGCTTGCCAGGCAAACACTTATTCCACTGAGCCATTTCCTCAGCCCCACCCAATTTGAATAGAGCCTTTTATTTACTGAGCTCAGGTCCATCAGCCACTTCTCAGCAGGAGTAGGCTGATTGCCTGGAACATAGGTAGCAAAGGGGTATTTATAACAGAAATCACATCCAGTTTGGTAAGCAAATTTGTTATCTAGTATAGAACAACAGAAACTACATTCATTTGACACAGCTATAAATTGTTTATAACTGAAAGGTCTTTTACAGCTTAGTGATAAGTGTATATTTTTGTAAGATATATCTTAAGCTGACTATGTTATAGGAGATGGTTGGGGAGGGAGTTTGTGTTAGCTTGTTGCCTTGACAAGAAACAGTTATTGTTGAACAGCCTTGAGCCGAAAGGGAGAATATATTTCTTAGAGTAGATAACAGGAAGGACAAGGGGTTTTTATAATTTTTTACAGTTATGGCACAAAACTGTTAACCCTTTACAATGCGAAGTCTATATTCAAACCGTAACTTCGTTTTTTTCAAAGTAATAACGTTTGATTTGTTTGGGAACTTCCAAGAGCCCTCAGGTAATTTAACAGGCCATTTCACCACATCATTAGATTGTGCAAAAATACAGTACTAATAGGAAGGGGCTCGAGCAGGGACAGTAATAGGTTTGCACACTAGATGGCGCTTTAGCCCTCTGAAGTGACGTTTTTGTTTGCTCCCAAAGAACACGTGCTGCTTCTCCCGCTGCGCGCCTGCTCGTTTCCTAGCGGCGTCAGCGTCGCATCCCGTCTGCTGCTCAGAACCTCTGGATAAGTAGGTGGCAGCGATTATTAGCTGCATTTGGCCTGAGAAGTTGTGTAACTTGCCCAAAGTCACAGCTTGTACGCAGGATAAACGACGCTTGAATAGTCTGATTTCCAGAGTCCCAGCTCTTACACAGTCTTAAGTTCAGTTCTAAGATACCATGACTTTTAATTTTTAAAAAAATTTGCTTGCGTTTGTGTTTTTTTTTACAACTATTGTAACAGGATATGGATTACCTTATATACTAAAAAAAACCTTTCTGGAATAAAATCCAAAGCCTTCACATGGATGAAACGTCAAAGGAAAGTCTGGGCTACAAATGGGGCCCACAAGTACTAAAAATCAGTCAGCTTCACACAAGATATCAACCGTCCCCGACGTCGCAGAAAGTTCTAACCCACCCGGCTGGAGTCAGGGCAGACCGGCGGCCGTAGGCGCCCGCGGCCACAGCGCATGCTCCGAGCGCGCCGCCGGCTCCCGCGGCCCGCAGCCACGCCCACCGGCCCGCAAGGCCTGCCGGGAGGGCGCCCATCTTCTTTGAACGCGTTCGTGAGGCCGGCGGCGCTGAGGAGTGGGGCGGTCTCGTGGTTGCTGGTGAGCCTGCGGCGCGCGTGTG